TGCCTTCCTGGCTCAGGACACCCTGCGATGCTACACTGAAGGAGACTGCTGTAACACTGTGGGCAAGCAGGCTTCCTTTCTGAGGTTGCACGGAGCCAGCCCTAGGTGTGTGTGGGGGGGACTGGGCCTTGCCTCCAGGGTCTGCAGACACAGAGGGTGCTGCCCTGGGGACTGGGGAGGGGACGAAGCTGGTGTCTGAATGCTGTTCATTCACTGGAAGCAGGGTCAGGAGAGGGGTCAGACTCCGACTCACACCCCCTGCAGATCAAGCCAGAACAGAAATCATCTGGTTGGGCCGTGGCAGAGGCAACTTCCATGAAAGAAGAGCGCACAGGGTGCAAATCAGCGGAAAAGGCTGGGGGAAGAGGAAAAGTTTGGATTTCTCCTGCCCCATGGTGCAAAGCCCAAACCAAACCAACTAAAAACCTGCGGTTGCAGGGACAATTCTGTGGGGAAAAGGAGGAACTTTCACCTTAATAGTTAGCACAGGCTTACTGTGTTAAAAACTCAATGAGTCAGTAAGGGTGAACAGTGAGCGATTACCCTTTCTCTGGTGTGTTTCCGCATGTTTGAGTGTTTTCCCCTACACATTTATACACGCAGGTACACGTCCATTTGTACAAACACGTGTACATCCCTTGTTCACACGGTCGTGCACGCTGCTCTTTTTCCTCAGTGTATCTGGAAGGTGGTTCCGAATCAACTGGATGGGATTTTTAATTTCCGAAGGCACGAGCTCTCCTGGCATCCGCAGATGTGACCCGCAATTTCGAGAGGAAGAGGAGTGACGGTCAGGAGGGAGGTGGGGGAGGGCTGGGCCCCTCTTGGTGTCCCGGGTTCCCGGCAGAAGTCTCCAGGACTGCGGGAGTCTGCAGACTCGGAGTTTCCGCGCCAGAGGAGCGGGTCCACGCGGACAGGCAGTTCCAGCCCCGGGTAAGAGCGGCCCCATCTCCTCCCGGTCCCCGGCGCCGCCAGCAGCAGCCCTGGAGCGATTTCCCCTCCCCGCCACCCGCGCTCTCTCTCCTCCTGCGCCCAGGCCGGTCTCCGGCTCCGGATCCGGGCGGCGAAGGTGTAGATGGGCGCGCCCAGGGGACGGTCCTGGAGCCCAGGAAGGGTGCGAGCTGGAGGCGGCGGTTCAGAAAAGTTGTCAGGTCTCCAGCGCGGGCAGCGGCGGGAGCCGGAGCCGCGGTCAAGAGGACCCGAGGGGACGCGGCCCGCCTGGCACACACGGCCACGGGTGCGAGGGACTCGACGAGCGGGGAGGACGCGGTCACCGCTGGTGCGGCGCACTGGGCCCGGTGATTGGCGCCTTCCCCGGCACAGGTGAGGCTGGGCAGAGAGGGCATCCGTGGCGAGGCCTCTCTGGGTGCGGGATGAGGGGACGCGCTGAACGTGGAGTTAATCTTGGGGATCGGGCGGGGGCGCTGGATAGGTAGATACTGTGGGGCTCCGCAGACCCTATCGCCTACCTGGACCTCCCGCGGAACACTTGCAGATCCGGCGCCAGGGGGGACGTGGCGGACGGGTCTTGTCCCTTGCTTTCCCCCTCCCCAGGACTTGGCGGGACTATGAGGATGGAGAGCCCGGGTCTTTGCGCTCCTTTTTCCCCAACCATGGAGCTCCATGCCTCCCTCACTCCAGTTCAGTTAAACTCAGACGGGCAGGGTCCCAGGGACGAGCCAGTCTCCCTCCACCTGTTTCCCTTCCATCCTGTGGTCCTGAGAGCCAGGCTGTGCCCACCGGGGAGCAGGCGTTCACAGCGAAGCTCGCAGGGGGTCCCAGGTTGGCAGAAATAAGGGATCATCTCGACAGACACCCCAGATCCGGTCCGATGTGGTTTGAGGATTGCTAGGAGGGGCTGGGGGTCTCTGGTGGATGGGTACAGGAATGTAGAACAGAACTGGGCTTTCCAGAAGGCCTTTCACCCCACTCCCCCATCTCTGCAGCACGAATTACTTCATCTCAGAGGGAATTAGTGGGTACGTTAGGCACAGGCACATAGCACAGCGCCTGAAGCGCACGAAAAGCTTAGCAGCTGCTAACCACTGCCATTATTATCATGCACACGTTGGGCCCAGGTAGAATCAAGCCGACCCACATGAGTAGCGGAGGGAGAGGCTTCCAGGTCCGGGAGAGCCACCCACGCGCCTTTCCGCGCCGGTTACTGGCACGCGTGGTTGCGTGGATGGCGAGCAAAGTCTCACCTCAGGCTGGGAAGGTGGCTGCGCCTCTGTCCAGGGTTCCCGGGCTCCTGAGAGCAGGAGCGCTAGGAGAATGTCATTTGCCGGCTTCCCGCGCGCCCGAGCTGTGTCCACAGGGCTGGGCTCTGAGCGCAGCAGCGAGACCACCTGTTGGTTAAACTTTCCGTGCGGTGTGGGGTCTTCTTAGGTCTCCGCTCTCAATGCGGAGAGCTCTACCTTAGCCCGCTTACAGACAGATCTTCTAAGCACTTTTTCTCCAGCTGCCTCCTGCCTAAAGCTCTTTCAGCTCAGCTGGAAAATCAATAGGAAGGACATACGGCCAATTTCAGTGAGAAAAAAAAAAATGTGTTTGCTTTTCAAAAGTCATGTGCAGCTTGAAATTCTGGGATAGCCACTCTCCTTGAGCCTGCAGGTTTCCTCAGGAGCCAGACTGAACTTTTAAAATATGTTTTTTAAATACTGCCATTTTCTTTCAAGGCTTCCAGTTAGGCAGAGATGAGGGTGGGGTAGCAGATATCTTCCCTTTTTTCCTTTTACTTAAATTGCAAAACAGATCTCCAGTATCAGGGTGCAGAATAAAACTAGGTGAGGAGACAGAGTGACAGGGTGCAGAATAAAACTAGGTGAGGAGACAGACCACCATTGGCGGTGGAGTGGGCAGAGAAATTTCCCCAAGGAGGTTTACTTGGGAGCAAATATTTGAGTGAAGTGAGGCAAGAGGCCAGAGAATATCTGGGGAGGAGCTGTCCAGGCAAGGGAACAGCTAGTGCAAAAGCCCAGAGGCTGGAATTAGCTGGGAGCGTGGAAGGAAGAACAAGGGCGAGACGGCCATGTGGCTGGGGCAGAGTGAGGGTGGGAAAGGGGTCCTGAAGGGAGGTGGGCAGAGTCCTGAAGCTCATCATGTGGTCCAGGCAAGCCACGTGTGTCTCAGATTAGAGCTGGGTCCAGTATCTACTCTCCTTTCTCTTCCTCAGGAGCAAACTCCTGATGTTTTCCTGGGCACTTGATTACCCAGAATAAGGACTGCCTTTGCCAGCCTCTTCTGCAGCAGGGTGTGGCTCTGTGCCTGGGTCCTAAGATTTTTTTTTTTTTGGGGGGGGGGATGGAGTCTCGCTCTGTCACCCAGGCTGGAGTGCAGTGGCGCCATCTTGCTTCACTGCAAGCTCCGCCTTCCAGGTTCCCGCCATTCTCCTGCCTCAGCCTCCAGAGTAGCTGGGACTACAGGCGCCACCACCACGCCCGGCTAATTTTTTTTTTTTTGTATTTTTATTAGAGACGGTATTTCATCGTGTTAGCCAGGATTGTCTCGATCTCCTGACCTCATGATCCACCCACCTCAGCCTCCTAAAGTGCTGGGATTACAGGTGCGCACCACCATGCCCAGCTAGGTTCTAAGATTTAGTATATAAAAGGGGGTGGCACCTGTAAACTCCAGGAAGTGAACTTCAGTGGAGGAAGTCGCCTTTCTTTGTCCCTATGTCATGGCTGGAAAACGAAGCATTAGTAACGACAGGAGCTCTAGCAGCCGTTTTAGACCATGAGGTGTTCCTTGGAAATGGAAACTGCACAGTGGAACAGTAAGAGAAGTGAAGCCTGGATCTCCACTGCAGCTACACTACCCCTCAGCCTTGGCTGATGGCTTCTGGACTTTATGAATACAAGAGAAAAATTAACTTGTATTTTGTTTAACGTATATGTGTGTGTGATATATATATAATATATATGGTTATATATAATATATATAGGTTATATATAAAATATATATTTTATATATAATATATAAAATATATAGGTTATATATAATATATATTATATATATTTTATATATATATATATAAAAGTTTAGTTTAAACCTAAACTTACATGGAACCCCATGGTAAGAACCTACATTTTATTCTAACCCATCAGGAAACTATTGGAGACTTTTGGGCCAGGAAGTGACAGAAATTGTTTCACTTTTTAGTAGACTCATTCTGCTGCTGTGAGGGAGGAGACTGGGCTCAAAGGAACAAGAATGGACACAGGAAAGGTCAGCTGAGGTTACGGCAGGTATCCAGGTGCATGAAAATGGCAGCTTGGACCAGGTGGTCATGGTGGAGGGAACAGGAAATGATCATCTTTAATATGAACTAGGATGAGTGTGATTAATACAGGTGATGAGAAAAGCCACAAACACATATATTATACATTTGACTTAGAGACATAGATCTGATTTTCCCATATAATATTTTCTTAAATTAGGTCATTTCATAGTTCCCATCTCCTTAGTTCACCTCCCCATGTTTCTAGTAGTTTACTGAACAGCACCACAACTGTTTGTATAGAATCCGTCAGAAAGCAAGAATTAGGAAGACTTTTAAAAATTCTCATATTTACAACAAGAATAAATGAGGCAGAAGAAAGTGGTGCAACTTTCTATAATTCATCCCAGTGAATAAGTTTGACACCTGGTATTAAAAGATCTGAAAATATTGAAGCTTCAGTGAAAAGCAGATTCCTCCCAAGCAATTGTTAAAGACTTCTTAAGGAAAGAAAAAATCAGCATTGCATTTATATGCATTATTTTATATAAGTATATCCCTCTGTTTCTCTAATTCCAACATATGCTTTAGCTCATGGTTGGCATCTGAAATAGCATTTGATAATACACATGGAAACACAGAGAAATAGATGTAAGAACTGTAAAATAAGGCTAAAACAATTGAAAGGAGATCAAATCCAGGGGAAATGTTGGACCGGGGTATACAGATTGTGACTCTTTGATGGTTCCTGAGAGGGAAGTAAAGCTTTAACTCAGGATTTCCTAGCAAAAGGAAACACAATTTATTACATGTTTCTCACTGTCCATGAGAAGAAAACATACCGGCCATAAAGAGGCCATGAAGGTGTTCCTGCCATTGAGATCTGAAAGAAAACTATCATGAACAGTTTTAGAGCAGAAATAATTACCCTGTAGGCTGAGACTCCTGCAGTTCACTGATAAGCATTATGGAGTCAATTTTCTCTTATTTTTTGTTCTGAAATGTTGTGGTTGTTTGCATTTTTTCCTCTGAATGGGCTCCATAGTTTTAATTATATTTCCAAAAGGGTGAAAAGCTCTGAAACTGTTAAGCATCATTTATATAGAAAATAATGCAGTAGGCAGCATTCTCCAGGCCATAAAAGTTGCAATAAATGTGGCAGCAGGCTTCCTAAAGCTTTCCATTTATACAGGTTTCTTAGCAAAGTTGAGGGTCTGACAATTTTATTTTTATTCCTTACTCTATTTACTTTCCTCCTTTGTTATCTTTATTATCAGCATGTGCTTCCTTCAAACGATGTCACTATCACGATGTTTGTTTTAGTGTAGTTATTGAAAGCATGGGCCCTAGGGCTAGAAAGCCCACCTGTAAATTCTGCCTTCACTGTGTGCTGTGGGATGGGTGGCTTCAGGCTTCTGTGTCTCATTTTTCTCACCTGTAAAATGGGGCTAGTAATAGATAACGCGACAGCATTGTGGTGAGATTCACATGAAGTAAGAAATGGAAAGCACATGTGTCCACGTCGGGCACATCGCACATGCTCAGGAAGTTGAGTCCTTTATCATTCTTGATGTTGCCTTCACAATCGTTGTTATCAGGGACTTTCCTTTTGACATGCCAGAAGGCATCTCCCACATCAGCTTACTTAAAATGTCGGGCATTCTAATATTTTTGTTCAAATATTTATAGCCAACAAATAGAGAAACTTACAATTATCCTCACCTCCACATAACTGATCTTGATTTAGGACTGTGCACATTTAGCGTTCACAGTCAGTGTGTATGTGTCCATCCCAGAATAGGAGACGCGATAGTGTACAACGGGGAAAACACAGACGCCTCAACCCATCTGTCCACTCAATGCGTCCCTGCCCAGCAAGAGGCCATGTGAGTCTCAGAGCCCCTCTGTTGATTCCTTTCTTTGAGACTCTTGTCATTCTTGTCTTTAGAGACAGGATTCTGTATGTGTGTGGGGTGTGTGTGTGTGTGTGTGTGTGTGTGTGTGTGTGTGTGTGTAGTTGCTTCACTGTTTTACAGCTTGGTGCTTTAAACTCTAGATCTTCAACTGGGGCTCAGCAGAAACAGCAGCACTCTGTCGTAATGCTGAACAAAAAGCCATCTGTGCTAAATATATTGCAATACAGAACTTTGCCATCTTTATGGCAGATTTTGGTTTAAAGAGACTTTTTAGGAATAATCTGATGCTAGGTGCATTCTGCTTCCATGTAGACTTTAGAGATTGAGCCCTTTTTATATGCTGCTTCACTGAACACGCAAACTGAAGTCAGAAATTCCCTGAGGGGAATGGCAATAGCTGAGTTTTAAGTAAGACGCAACTCTGTGTGACTGGGTAGTTTAGCCAGTTCTACCTCTGCCCATCCTCACCCCAGACATACCTTTTTCCCAGAGAGATTAGAACCATAATCACCAAAGTCAGATGAAAATACACCTTCAATCTGCAGCTCCGGCGAGTCATTCCGTTCCACAATCTCTCTGTGAAAAAAAATGTCAGAGTAAAAAATATTCTGAATTGTGTTAATTTCTTTCTCTCAAAATTATAGTTCTAATTCTCCTTGTCAATCTATCTGCACACACACACACACACACACGTGTGTGTATGTGTGTATATATCATACATACAATTTCTATTATTCATAGCAGTTATATTCCAATGAATTAACACATACTGAACCATTGCTCCTAGGGAAACTGCAGAGATAGGTTTCTCTTAGTCTTTGTTTACACAACTGATCAATATATAATTTTATGTGTACTTCTGTATAAAGACACCTTATTTAATATAGATTATTGGTTCATTTTCATTGAATTTACAGCTGACAGCACGACATAGCTCATGCCTGAGCAAAGTTTATCTAACACACATATTTTCTCCACAAGGCACACGACAACTTCCTTGTGCTTAGGAACTAACTACATGGCACTTCAACCCTACAGTTGGGGACTGTTTTAAACAGCAAAGTTCCTCTCAAAATGAAACAAAATAGGAAGAGCATGGAACTGACTAGACCACAGAAGGACCGTTGCTCGCAGAGCTGGGCAGGAAGGGAGGGCACTGCCTGTTTGACCTCAGGTTGGATGATTCACATTTTTTGCTGCTCCGCCCATGTACAAAAATGACTTCAGATGTTCCACAAGTATTGATATGGGGGTTAAAAATGAGGGCTAGTGAGGAGGCAAATTTGCAAATACAGAATGTCAATAATGAAAATTGACTTTGTGTGTGTGTGTGTGTGTGTGTGTGTGTGTATGCGGGTGGGTGTGTGTGTGTGCGGGTGCGCATGTGTGTGTGCGCGTGTGTGTGTGTGCAGGTGCATGTGTGTGTGCACGTGTGTGTGTGTGCGTGTGTGTGTGTGTGTACATGCATATATAGGAGTGACAAGTGGCTGGCCCAATTCAAATTTATATTGATTAGATTGGAGCTACTTGTAGCCTTTACATGGTCCCGTAAGATGCATTCTTATTATAGCTGAGGAAATGTAACTATTTTCTGCCATAAAGCTTGTTGTAGTCATCTGCAATAAGGAAGTGGAATAATGTAATAAGGATTGTCCCTGTCCTTGAAAGAGACAGCTCTTATTAGTTTTTTCTTAGCTTTTGGGGTAGGAGAGCGTGTAGGACAGATTCTGTTGAGGATTTTCATGGAAAACTCAGCTAGGAAAAGGAACAGATTTGGTTACTGTTTCAAATTAATGAGCCAGGTTCTTTCATTTCTGTCTTTGAGGTACAGGAAGGGATTCAGAGTGGTGTTACTGAGTGGACTCAGGATCTCTGACAAAATTGGAGAAGTTATCATTTATGTTTCAAAATATTTATCCATATTAAAAGTATGAACTGAATGGAAGGACTACTGGTGTAACCCCTTTTGTCACTGGAAAGTTATTGATTAGATATTTCAGTCTTTACAGAAGAATTCCAGAAAGATAGATGCTTCATTATCTTGTCTGTAGTTGGTCAATTTTTATAAAATGAGAATGTGTTCATCACTTTTCTTCTTCCCTTTTTCTCTTGTTTATAAGGATTTGATAGTCTATGGTTTATCCTTCCTTCTCTTAAGGTAGAAGCTTCTTTTTTAAAAACCTAAGACATGAGACTTCATGGGCCTCCATGGACTCTTTTTCCACATGCCCCATGTAATGGGAGCTGTGTAGGTACAGGAATGTCCTTTCACAGTGGTTCTCAGGGTGCTGCTTTCCTCTCCCAGCTTCAGAAAAAGACACCTGGGACCTCTGAGTTCCTCACTGGTGGTGGCAGCAGGACTTCGACGTCCCCAGTTCTTATATCCTCACATAATCCTTTGAGTGTAAGAAATAATCTTCTGGTAGCTCCTGCACACGTTCTGAAGGCCACGCTTTCTTGCATCATCCTGTAATACTCGGCGATAAACTGTGTGGCAGAGTCCCCAAAACTACCCCCAGATTCACTTATTCTCTGTAAGAACTCAAGGGATTCAGCACACAGGCTTACCTGCCACTGTGAATTATCACAACAAAAGATGTAAAGCAAAATCAGCAAAGACAAAAGGCTCACGGAGCAAAGTCTATAGGTTGCCCGCACAAGCTTCCAGGAATCCCCTCCCACTGCAGTCGTCCAGGGGGTGCCAGCTTTTGCATCCTATGGTAACAGCATTGTGAAATGTGGATCAGGGAAGCTCATTAGAAACGCAGCACCCAAGGTCTTTGCTGAGTCCTGGTTGCCTGGGTACTTTCTGCCTATCATGTACCTGAATCCAAAACTCTAAGGAAGAAAGCAGGTGTTCAGTATAGACTGTCCTTTGTGTGAAGAGTTTTATCACAATGCACCACTCTTCTTAGTTAGTGAAAGCTGGAAACTCACAAAATCCAAGTTTCCATAGAGCAGTCAAAGGACAACCTTATAAGCAGATCTTTCTAAGGACAGCAGTCTCAGGCCTCCTACATCCCTTTCTGCACACGTAACCACCCTCGGCCTAGTCAAAGATTAAGTCCAAAGAGCGATACAGAGAACGTTAATTTCCTTAAGCAAATCAGGATTCACTAAGATGTTTCCACGTGTTTTGGACTTTGGTTCGGCAAATCCCATTGAAGATTCTGCAGAAGAGACCCCCTGCCCTCCTTATTGACCTGTTAACAACAAAAGGCTGAAAACAGAGCACAGGCTGACACACCGTTGCCATGACTACCTGTGCGGCAAACATCTTAATGGCATTTCACTGAGATGCTTCAGGTGTTGGGCGTTGGAAAGGGATGGCTGAATAGAACTAAAGACCTCGTGGCACGCAGCTCCCAGTGGTGCAGGAAATATCCAGTTAATGCCCTCAGTGGTAGCCATTCCCTTTTTACCAAGGGTAGTAGAAGATGAAATGGGTTCATGCTACCATGAGTTGGTTTGGATACTCATGGAAAGAATGGTCTCTTCAGGCATTATTCAACTTCCACAGCTCCTGCTCACTCTCAGTCATGGTGCTGTGTCTCTTGGCTTGTGGTATAACAAATCTTCTATTTTTTTGTTGTTGTTGTTGAGTTCTTTTTTTTCTTGAGTTCTTCTTTATAGGTTTTATTCCACAGACATTTCCTTAAACACTGTTAATTAAAACAATGATGAGGCCTGCTTTGGTTACTTAACAGGACTGCCTACTGGGGAACACAAGCACCATGACACGGAACGGCTCTCACTAAGTCAGTCAAGTCCATTGCTAAATTCGATGGTTGCTTCTGACTGGTTAGTTCCCTTGAGGCCTCAGTAACGTTTGACATTAATACTGATGTTCTTTATTAAGCTCTCTATGGCTGTGCTTCTCACACTTTGATCACAGGATCTGTTTATCCTTACATTCTTGAGAACCACCCCACCAAAAAAGCCATTTTGCTTATAAACATTGATATTTATTAGAAATTAAAATGGAGAAAGTTCATGATGTTGTTTCTCCAGTTGGTTGCAATATCACCTTTCCAGTAGCCTCTGGAAACCTCCATTCTGCATTCATGTGCTCATGAGAACGAAACCAACAAATAACACCTTAGTATCCACGTAGAGATAATTTGGCTTGTGTGGACCTCCTACAAGGGTCGTGGGAGCCCCGAGAGTTCCTGGACCTCACTTTGAGAATCACTGTTCTACACAATTCCTTTGACTGTTTTTAACACCATGGGCTTCTGTCTTCCTCCTACCTTCCTGGCTCCTCCTTCTTGTTAGGTTTCCAAGGCAAAGTGAGGGTTAAAGACACACATAGAACAAGAGAGCGGCTCAACAGCAAATGCAGGCATTTAGGTCCAGTGTAAACCGGCTGAGGTGGAGCACCAGTTTAATGCCAGTGCCCACTACTGCTTACAGGCTGGGATACTTACAGGTATGGGTGGGAGGGGTCTGGGCAGTATGGCTTGCTGCCGGGGAAGATGTTAATAAGATGTATCCGTGATGAAGCAGTTGGGGCCTTGTTCTCGCAGAATGTGATAGTGATGTGCCTTGGACTTTTTCTCAGCAGAATGTGATAAAGTCAGGCGGTTGGACAGGCAGGTTCTCATGGCCCGAACCCTCATGGAATGTTTCACTTTGACCAAGGTCTGCATAATGGCAGGGAGTTTACAAAATGGTGTATTTTGGATTAACAGGTCTCAGTCTTGGGCTCCTTGTTGTCTGACACATCCTAAATGTTGGCCCCTGCTGTTCCAGGTTCTCTACTCATTATGCATGTTCTCTGGGTAATTTCATCCACTCCTAAGGCTTAAATCATCATCCCTCTGCTGAAGGCTTCTAAATCTCTTTCCCTAGCTCAGAGCCCTTTTCTGAGATGCAGATTCTTGTGTAGTTTGATCTAGTGGGCACTGGTACTTTTGTATTCCACAGGTATTTTTGGCAACTATCTACTTCTTTCTATCTTCAGGGCTATTCTTGCAGGGTCACTCTAGCAGTCCCTAGCAGGGTTACTGTGCTTGTCCCCGCCTGCTTTTGGTCCATTCTCCGTCATTGTAGAGAGATATATTTAATCAAATCTTCTCATTTGTGCTTAGGTCATGTCAGTGCCTTTCCATTACTCTTTGGATAAAGGCTAAGCATTTTAAAATGCTTAATGGCTTTTTGTGATATGACTCTTACCTAAACCTCTCCAGCTTGTGTTTTGCAGTTTGTTCCTTCTATTGAACTTCATCTTTCAGTGACACCGAACTTTCAGGTTCTTCTAATGGCTACATGTTCTCATCCTCTGGGCATTTACCTCTGTTGTTCCAAGAAATGGTCTTCAACATCTTCAGATACCTAGAAGCTTTGCCCCTCAGTGGGAAGAAAGCTTTCAACTCACAGCAGTTCCAGCAGAAGTTCCGGGGCTGGAGAGCTGATCCTGAGTTGCCTGTGATCACATGCCACACCTGAAGGCATCACTCTATCCAGGCTCCAGGTGTATAGAACGTTGTGAGGTCATGACTGACGGCATTATGACCAGTCTTGGAACTAGGGTTGGGGTGGGGTTCATCCCACCCAGACCACAGGGACCAAAAATGAGAAAGGATGTTTTTCAGAGAGAAGTGTTGGTGCTGGACAGGAAGAACCACAGATGCCTGATACGGGTACTGTTGTAACTCTGTTCTCCATAAAACGTAATTTGCTTTTGCTTGATACTAATCTTTTTGTCCTCATAGTCTTGCACGTGGAGTTTATCTATCCACCTCCAACAGACACTCATGCGCCTCCCAGTCACTTCTTCTTATCCCTCAAAACCAGTTCCAGAGAAAGGATTGAATTTCTTCCCTCCTAGGCTGACTTTTCATATGCAAAGTTCACATGTATACACTGCAATGCATTACACACAGCATTTGATTTGTGGGTTTGTCTTCTCCACCACATGAGCTGAACAGAAATCATGCCTTGGACGTTTCCACATCCTCAACAAGTAGTTAAGACATGTCACAGAGTAAGTAGTGCTTAATTAGGTTTGAGGAATAAGGGATACAGTTTTTTTGTTTGTTTGTTTGTTTGTTTGTTTGTTGAGATGGTGTTTTGCTCTTGTTTCCCAGGCTGGAGTGCAATGGAGCGATCTCGGCTCACCGAAACCTCTGCCTCCTGGGTTCAAGCAATTCTCCTGTTTTTGTCTCCCAGTTTCCTCCAAGGCTCTTGTTCAAACTGTTCTTATTGTGACTTTGGGTTGGAGATTTCTAAGGCTTGTGGTATAACAAATCTTCTATTTTTTTTTTCTTGAGTTCCTCTTTATAGGTTTTATTCCACAGACGTTTCCTGAAACATTGCTAATTAAAACAATGATGAGGCCTGCTTGGGGTACTTAACAGGACTGCCTACTGGGGGACACAAGAGAAGGACAAGACAGAGCCTGTGACTTTTACCAGCCATCAGTTCAAAGGGAAACTTGCACACAACCTGCAGCTGGTTAAAGGATCAGGAAGGAAATAGTTCATCTAAGCACAGTCTCTGGAGCCTGAGTTCAAACCCTAACTCACCCCTTGCTAGTTTTGTGCCAGCGGGCAAACTTCTTAACCTAATATGATTTAGTAGATGCAAAGTACTTAACTCATGCTCAATGTATAGTTAACAATTAATAGTTAAGATTAATTTCATTACCTCTTTGTGATTATTTCAAACTCATTGATTTCTTCTTTTTCTAAACTCTGACAATAGTTGAAACTGTATTGAGCACTTCTAGTGTTGCATTATGTATTTTCATTTATGCATCAGTATTTATTGTGAGCATACATCTTCTCTTCCCAACTAAATTATTTGTTCCCAGGGATAAAACTGTGTTTTCTGCTTTGGATATGTATTGGCTATGTCATATGTGTAATAGGGACCTTTACATAATTAGTTCTGATAGAAATGATACGATCATTTTTTGTATCATAAGTTAAACATAATATAATGGTAATATAATACCATGAAAAAGATGGCAGGAGTGACAGTTAAGCTTCTGAGCCAACATTGTTTCAACTCTTGAGAAGCACCCATTAATACAACAAGTGTTATGGCCATTTTGAAGCAGTCTTAATTTCCTTAAGGTAGTTGCATTAGTCTTCTGGCACTGCCATAAAATACCATAGGCTGGGTGGCTTAAATTTTATTTTCTCACAGTTCTGGAGACTGGAAGCCCAAGAGCAAAGTGCCTGCTAATTAGTTCCAGGGCTTTCTTCCCAGCTTGCAGACAACCACCTTCTCACAGTGTCTTCACGTGGCAGAGAGAAACAGCGAGCATTCAGCTCTCTCTCCTTAGAAGGGTCCTTTCAGACCAGGGCTCCATCATTACCACCTACTTTAACCTTAATTAATTCCTTACTCCAAATTCAGCCAGATTGGATGCTAGGGCTTCAACATATGAATTTTGGGGGACACAGTTCAGTCCATCGCAGAGGTCTTTCCACAAGAAAAAACCAATATGATTGTTCTGTCCCTCTAGTTTTTGTGAGCCAGTCCATACAAGAAACTGGCTTCCCCAAGTTATCCTGGATGACTTGTATTTTACCTTTTTTATAAAAAAATTAAACTACTATATTGATGAGGAGTCAATGCCTAGGTCAGGGTTGTAAACTCACCCTGGGTCCTGGTATTCAAATGTGTTATCGGGATTCTGTCTCCATCTCCAGTGCTGCTTTCCCCAATGTTGGCCTTGTTCTCATACAGTTCCCTGAAGGGGTGACAGGAAGGCCAGGCAGGGGACACAAATGAGGCAAGTCTGGGCATGGGGCAGGAGGGAATGGTGGGGACTGAGGCGATCCTTAGGACAGAGGCCCCATGTAAAGTGCTCAGAGGCCACTGAGGGCCATCTGACTAGTGCCAGGAGAAATGTATGTCCCACTTTCCAGATCTTTTTATATTTTCAAAGAAAAGCTAGAGATCTGGATTTTTTATGTTTATTTTCTATGTTGATTTTCTATGCTAATTTCATTTTTTAAAGATTGACAACTAATTCGATGTTAAAAATTGTGTTAAATTAGAAGAAAAATGTCATCAAGCAGGCAATCCGTTTTGGATCTCTAACCTAAGCTTTTGGAGGAAATTAATAAAAGTGGCAAGATCACATTGGTGGGGGATTAACTTGCATATACATCCAATTTTGTCATTGCCTATTGAGCTTATTACTGAAGACTCAGTGTCATAAAGTATATCTGTTCGTTCATTCGTGGCACTGGGTTCAGACGGTCTGTTAAAAAAAAAAAAGAGTCAATTCCAACAGTAACTTTTTCTCCAGAATAATTGCTTAAATATCTGGTACACTCTGAGGGCACTCTTGGTTTCTCTTTTATTTCTTTTTTTTTTTTTTTTTTAACAAGATTACTGAGTTGAATAAGTCAGATTATATTATTATTTTACTATTTTGTTTGGGTTTGGGAATGAATAATTGTTGATGTTTTTCTTCTTAGCATTCCTTTGCCCTTCCTGTCCTAACAGTATCTAAGAATGCTACGGAAAAGCACCACCGGTCCCCTACCTTCCAGCTTTGTACTTCAGGAAAAACTGACTTTTTTTTTTAGGGCTCGGGAGGGGGCCTCCTGGCATAGACTGGGCTACTCAATACATTCTCCCCGCAAGCCACAGTGATAGTGTTAAGGATGACACATGACCCACTAGAGACGATGACATGCAGCATGGCTTCTTCCTTCTTCTACTGTGACTTGTGGAAAAGGAACCCTAACCAGTTCTTGATGGACTGAACAATGTTTGGGAGATGGTGTTCTTGTCACCATGTGGAGCTTAAGCAAAAAGCCACACCATGGAAAGCGAAACTGAGAGATGAATGAAAAAGCATGTTGGTGCCACTGTTGGCACCTGAATCCATCTGAGTCCGAAGCCAGTCTACTCCTCGTGACTGTGTGTTTTATAGATTTCTTTAAAAAGAATCCTTACTGATATACATAATGGCCAAAGGAGAGGAAGATCAGTCTCAATTAGTGAGAAGTCCAAAGCAAATGGATGTAGAGGACTACGTGCTCACAAACAGGGTGTTCCCGGTAAGTCCTGCTCTTACAAACGAAGCAGGGCGTTGGGGGCTTGTTTACGTGTAAACATCTTGAAAATCCAGAAAGTCAGGGAAAGGTCAGAAAAACAACAATGTGTCTTGTGACTTGGCAACATTCCACAAATGACTGTATAAAATAAAGCAGAGCGCGCCATTCGAGGCGGCCGCCATGTTTGTCTTGTCTTGTGTTGTCTTGTGTGTTCATTCCTTTGTTTAGGAAACACGCGGACCCCAACAAATGGACTCATGCATGGTCTCATCAAAATGAAGTCAAAGGTTAAGGGCACATTTAAATTGTCTCATGGTGTGTTTTTGGTGGGTGGAGAGACTACAAAATCCCATTTAATACAGAGAAAACAAATCGAACCTCAGAGGACTTATATGGTTTCTCTCAGTACCTACAGTGGGCTCATGCAGTCCTGGGACTCCAGCTCAGGTGTCTCAGCTTCTCAGGACATCAGCTGCCCCCTATTCAGGTAGTGACAGAGCTACTAGGATTGCTCAGTGAACATCCGTATACCAGCTCCTAGATTCAAGTTAATATTTTACAGTGTTTGCTCATCACATATCTATCCATGTGGTCCCCTGTCCACTCTTTAATACATCTTATTTCACGTTCTAATTGGAGGCCATCTTTCTTGATGCACTAATTTTTATTCATTTGGCAAAGATGTAATACCTCCCACTAGGCACTTGGGATGCAACAGTGAGCTAAATACCAAAATGTTTCCTGTCAGGAAGCTGGACATTTTTGGGGGGTTGATGGTTGATGGAAGAGTAAAAAAAAACATACACACAGGACACTTTTAGGTAGCAATAAATGCTTTTAAGGAAACAAAATAGGATGAAATGACTGAATCTCTAAGACACATTCCAGCTAGGAAAACAAAAAATCTTCTAGGTATTTTAACAGAGGGATTTAGTATAGGGATTATTTACCTAGGTGTAGAAAAGCTTTAAAAAGGCTTAATATTTCTTGAGAAAATAAAGCAGAGGTTAAGAGTTGCAAGAAACTGTTACCACTCCTATGGTTGGAGGAACAGAGGGAAGGGATGATACTGCTAGTGCCCAAGTACGGGGACTGTTTGGTGGAAGTTAGAACCACAGCCGTGGTTGTCCTGGATGATGTTGCTGGCAGATCTGAGAAGATGGTAAGGGGAGCTCTCAAGGAGCTGGAACCACAGAGGAGACAAAGTCATTAGCAGAAAATGCTGCAAGAAGCAGGAAGAAAAACATACTCAAGTTCTTCCTTCTTCTTCTCCTCCAGCCTTGCACCAGTGCCTCCAAATTGGCTGAACCTGCTGAGAGTCAGCAGGAGAGAGCCTGGGAAATGCATTTCTGAGGCATACACAACAGAAGAAGGTGTTTGGGGGCCCAGGACAAACCGGCAGTTGACAGCCACGTAGAGGCTTTT